GTCCCCCCAACAAAGAAAACGTTTTGCGAGCAGCTGGGGGCGGTCCGTTTGCTGGGGTGGGGGACGGGGACGTGGGGAGGGGAAGGGGGCCTAGATGGCCTTCGCCCTTCCCCCCCCAAAAAAAAACGACAGTTTCGGGAAGTCCTTTCTGCCCCCACAGTAATCAAATTTGGTTACCCCAGCCTGGTCCGTGTGAAGGCCTTTCAAAAGAAGCCCTGGCGCCCTCCCCATCCTGCCCAATATCCGCCCCCCCCCCTCTCTTTAGTGGTGCAGGCGCTACGCCGCGCGTGCGCTAGTCCGCCCACTTCTCCGCGCATTAGGAGAACCCGCGGGGCGGGCCAACGAAACCACAAAAGGCTCAACGCGATCGGCTAGGCAGACGCACGTGCCCGCCCCGCCCCCCCATCATACCCAGTATCCGCCCCTTCTCTTTAGTGGTTCGAGTAAAGAGGTGATTACGACGCTGCGGAAGTCCTCCCCCTTTTAGTCGACGAGAGGTTGAAAAAAGTTTGTTCGGACATCTCGTGTTAACTCCGAAGTCCCCCTTGTTTTTAGCGGTTGAAGGGCTTAAAGAGGTTGTTAACAGGGACGTGGGGTGGCGGGGTCAGAAAATGCACGGGGGGCTTAAAGGCTTTAGCATGGGGTAGTGGATTCTGGCTAAAATCTGACGTGCCTCGACCCGGACGGATTCGTCGGAATCATATTTGGGCGTCTCTAGGAGACTTCTTGGGACCCCATGAGGCAGCGCAGGCCGATGCTGGAGAATATGGGGGCTCGTTTCAGTCGTCCGCGAACGGTCTTGAAGCATCTGGTAGTAGTTTTGCAGCGGTTTTTGAATATCTTGTACTCGGCTGGAGGACGAAGAGGGCGCCAGGCAGCAGCATCAGAGATGAGGTCAAACGGCGGTAGCTAGTAGGGTCAGGCTGGTCCTAGAAGACCCGCTGAAATTCTCCCAGAACCAGCACGCGTTCCAGCACGCCTCAACGTGCCCAAGACGTGGTGGCGGATATCAGCGTACGTGCGCATGCATGCTGGCTGACGTATACATCGATACGCGCTGCAGTTGCAAACGTACGTTCGACTACCATGCCAAGATGGATGATGAGGAAGAGGCCTCGCCCTCCCCCTGCCCCCCTCTTCCGTCCTTCCTCCTGCCTTCCTCCTTCCCTGGGTCCCTCCTCCCTCCTCCTTCCTCTCCTCCTCCTCCTCCTCCTCCTCCTCCTCCTCGTCCGCCTCCTCCTCCTCCTCTAAATACCTTCTCGCCTCGTCGTCGCCCTCCTCCCCCTCCCCTCCTCCCCCTCCTCCTCCTCCTCCTCCTCCTCTTCTTCCCCCTCCTCCTCCTCCTCTTCCTCCTCCTCCTCCTCCTCCTCGTCCTCCCCCTCCTCCTCCCCCTCATCCTCCTAGGTGGCTCGCGGCAGGCCATAGCCGTTTTGCCCCGCGGCGGGCACGGGGGCCCGCACGCGATAGCCCCAAGCGCCGCCTTAGGGGCGGGCGCGACCGACGGCGGACTCCGACTGCTGGGGGCGGTCGAGGTCGCCAGCGTGGCACCGCCGCCTGCGCCGACTGCGTTCGCAGGCGCGGGGGCGACTCCAACATCAGCGCGACGTCGCGCGTCTCGCCGTGTATCACGGCAGCGCGCCGCCGATGCATGCGGTAGCAGGGGCACAGGCAGGGCGCGGGCGCGCACCTCGCCCCTTGGCGTGCCAGCACTGCGGCTGCCGCAAGAACGAGGAGTGGTGGACCTGGTACGGCCACTGCAAGAAGCCGCTGGTCCTCGTCCAGGCTCGTCCTACTGGTGGTGGCGGCGGCGGCGCACATCGCGACCAGAGACGCCCACCGAGCCGCGACCGTGACGGCGGCCGTGGCTGCCCACCCTGGCACGAGGCGACAGGCGGTGCCTCGGCCAGCGCACGCTCCGTGCTGCTCGCGGCAAGACGCGCCAGCTGGTCAGCCTCGGACTGGCCCCAGCGGGCACCTGGGGAGCGGGGGTGACTGGGAGAGCTTGGAGTGGGATCGAACCGATGAGACGTGCAGCGCACTCCGCCTTGTATGTGCGCGCAGCCCGTCGTTTCCTCGATGTCGACCTCCACCTCTCCCCCGCCTCTCCGTGGACCGTGGGCCCCGCCTACGCTTGCACTGCGGGGCCTATTCATATGCTTGCCCAGGCGATTTGGTCATCGTGGATCCCCCGGGTCCCTCGGGGATCGATTGCTCGGTTGACGTTTGCTTCTGAGGCTGCTTTCATGGCCGACCCCTCCAAAAGCGACCGGCCCCTGGTCAGAGGTCCGATCTCGGCTGCCGTCGCCAGCGGCCGTCGCATAGGTTGGAGGCTCGGACCTGGAGTGTGCATGCTTTTAACTCAGGATGGTTAGCATATTGATCTCACTAGCATGTGCCCTCGCTCTGCGCTGTACGTTGCTCGCCTCGCGATCGAGGATTGGCTGATGGATCGTGCCCACCAGAGCTGCGACTACATGTCGAGCCTCTCACATAGGCCGTACTTGTCGCCCATCCGCAAGCTTTGCAATGGAGCGTGCGGGCCTGAATGGAACATCCAGCATCAGGCCAGTCTCCGAGCGATTGCAGCGAATTGGATTTGGGATCAGGCTCGCAAGTACAAGCACGGTCTGACGACCGATCCGTCGTGCCCCGTGTGTGGCTGTTGCCCTGGTACCCTCGCCGCCTGCATTGCGGGTAAGCGCTCGGCCACCTGGCAGTATGTGAGGGACTATGACCTCGCCCCCTCTGTCCGTGAGGGCCTCCGTGAGCACCCCGACTGGGCCCTTTGGAGGCACGGCCTTGTCCCCGACCCTCGCCCCTGGGTGATGGGCCCCTCCTCCTTCCTACTCGTCCGCTGGCTCAGGCGTCCGCTGGGCGGCCATTTCGAAGGCGAGGCCTTCGGCGACGGCTCGTGTGTGTCGCTTGTACAGGGCGACATGCGTCTCCTACGCGCGGGCTGGCGCGGGCTGGTGTGTCGTGCAGGTCGACTACAGTGGGGGCCTCGTGGCGCCCCTGTGCGGCCTGATGCCTCGCCCGCACCAAGCGTCGGACCTGGCCGAGGCCTATGGCCTGCTCATGTATCTCACGCGCGTCGGGCTGGGCCCCTTTCGCTACCATTCGGACTGCGATTGGGTGGATGACGAGCGGGAGTTGGGTGTGTCGCGAGGTGGGGGAACCGCCACGCTGATGCAGGCGCCCGCGTGGGCGCCTCCCTCCATCCCAAGGATGCCGAGGCCAGCCAGCGCGTGCAGCGCTCCTTTAAGCCGGCCACCTTCGTGGCCAAGTTCCTAGCCAGGAGAATGCAGGCCGTCGGCCCCAAGTCGCAGCAGGCGCCGCGCCACGGACAGCTGCTGCGGGCCAAGCGACGGGGGCCGACGCCAGCCCTCACGGCGGACACGGAGCCGCCCCCTGATGCCCACTTGCCCGCGCCGTCTCCCGTTGGCTTCAGGTGCGCCAGGTGCTTCCGCGTCGCTCGGCAACGGGGCGCCTTCATCCCAGCCGTGTGCGCCCCTGGAGGGGGCCACCGCGACTGGCACGTTGGCCAGTTCGTCTTCTGCACCCGCTGTGGTGCGCACTCCAGCGAGAATGCGCAGCTCCTGGCGCTCCCTTGCCACGGCGGAGTGCCCCCCCAAGACGCGCACTCGTTAAGACCGTCTCTGGGAGGCCCTGCACCCTCGCACTGGGCAGCCGCTGCTGTCGTCTGTGCAGGGACAGATGAGGCCTCGCCCATTCGGCGAATATGTCCTCGACGCCACCTACGGGGGCCTGGTCGTGGTCGAGGACGATTGCGCCGTGTCGGGCTAGCCTCCTGTCCCTTCCTCGTGCGGCACTCCCGTGTGGGATGTGCCCGAGGCTTTACTTGTCAGGCTCTCGCCTGAGTCTGCCTGCGTAACCAGCCCCGCTTGCACGCTTTCAGCCGCGCCTGGACAACTCCTCCTTCTCCTCCTCCTCCTCCTCCTCCTCCTCCTCCTCCTCCTCCTCCTCCTCCTCCTCCTCTAAGTACCTTCTCTCCCCGTCATCGCCCTCCTCCCCTCCTCCCCCTCCCCCTCCTCCTCCTTCTCCTCCTCCTCCTCCTGCTCCTCGTCCTCCCCCTCCTCGTCCTCCTCCTCCTCCTCCTCCTCCTCCTGCTCCTTCCTCCTCCTCCTCCTCCTCCTCCTCCTCCTCCTCCTCCTCCTCCTCCTCCTCCTCCTCGTCTTCCCCCCCATTCCCTCCTCGTGTCGTCCTCCCTGCATGTGCACGCAGGCGCCATGACCCAGCCCTGCGTGTGCACCGATCTCCGGCCCTTAGCGCTGCAGTTTCTCTCTGGGCACTCCTCGTGTGTTGTGTCTTTCCACCACGTGAGCGAGAATTCCTCATGCGCAGGAGGCGGATGACGAGGCAGAGCAGGAGGATGAGGATGTGATTTTGGCGTTGAGCGCGTGGCTGTGTGGCCGCTATCTCCTGGACAGAACCTCGCTAAACCTGAGTCCTGAAACCTGAGGCCTCCTTCCCCCTCCTTCAAGCGCGTCGACTCAGCTTCGGCAGCACCTGGAGTGCAGAGACAGCTCGCAGCACCAGGGCAGCTTTCGGCCCTTCACCGCTGCGGGGAGGAGGAGGATGCGCAGGAGGGGCAGGAGGAGCAGGAGGAGGAGGAGGAGCAGCAGTAGCAGAAGCACGAGGAGGAGGAGGAGGAGGAGGAGGAGGAGGAGGAGGAGGAGGAGGAGGAGGACAGGCACGGCGCTGCTTCTTGGTCGGCATCGTGGGGCCTCAGCGGGTTTCCCCGCCGCTCCTGGGGAGTCTTTCGGCCAGCACCCATCGAGGCCGCCTGCAGGATCGGCCCCAGCATTCTCCCGTCGGCTATTGACGCCGCGGTGCAGTCGTAGCTGCTCGTGCATTTTGTATCTGTGCACAAGGCACATCCGCAGCCATTGTGGCTCCAGGTCTCCGTCGAGCTCCGGGCGGAGGGCGTGTGAAGCCCTTTGTCCGTCCCGCCGCTTCGCAGGGCCTCCTCTCTTCGAGCGATGGCTGGCCGGCGCACGCATGCACTCGGCGCCGTTGTCTTCGGGCTGGGGTTCGTCGTGGCTGCACTGGTGGCCCTCAGCTCTGGCAGCGCTTTCGTTGGATCTCCGGTGCAGCTGAGAGCGAGACAGGGCGCGGTCCCCCTGCGGGCGGAGGGTGAGAAGTCCGTCGCGCTCGTGAAGGTCACCGAGGAGAATGCCATCACCACGGCCAGCCTCCTGGGCGGCACCGTCGGCCTGCTTACGGGAGGCGTCTGGATCGGGGCGGCCCTCTTCGCGGTGTCGTCCTATTTGTCCAGGCAGGAGGATTCCGATGTGTCCAAAGCCCTGAAGGGCGTGTCCTCCACCGCCCTCGAGGCGCTCAACTTCGGCGCCTACCTGAATGACAAGTATGCGGTCACGAGCACGGTCAGTGATTCCTTTGCGAGCGCCCTGGAGTCGAACCCTGAGACGAAGAAGACGATCGACGATGCTTGGAGCGGCGTCAAGGATGCCTACACGTCAGTCGACCAAGACGTCGGCATCAAGGACACCCTGGGCACCATCCTGGCCTCTGGCAGCGAGCTCGCGTCTCAGGCCGTCGACAAGGCCGTGGAGCTGAACAATAAGTACAAGTTCGTGGACCAGATCGGGGAGAAGATCTCGGAGGTCATCGATCAGGTACAGTCATCTAAGAAGGCCTGAGTCAACGGCGCGCGGCTTGCGATGCAGTCAGCCTATTTTTTTCAACGGTGCGAGTCTGCGATACAGTCAATTCGCCAGCGCATTCTAGCGGGCTGGACTCGCACAGAGAACGCATGTTTGTGGGGCCTCAGCGGTGTTCCTCTCGACTCCTGGGGGACTTTCGGGCCCTCCCCACCACCCAGCAGGGCCGTCTACAGGGGGGAGCCTCTAATTCTCCTTTCGGCGTTATGTTCGTCGGAACGCTCGTAGCTGCTCGTGCCTGGTTTTGCTCGCAGTCGCCAAGACCGTCGGCACTGTTCTCCGTGCCTTCGCTTGTGAGCGCAGAGCTTTCTCTAGCGCGAGCAGCATGCTCGCGCTTCAGAGCAAGCGCCTCTTGCGGAGAGGCGCAGGCCCAGGATCGCGCGCAAGGCATGAACTCCTGCTTTTGCATTGTTGTTGCGCATCGCGCCCTCGAGCACCCCACGAACTCACAAGCATCATTGCTCTCGACCCTGATCACGTCAGCCAGTGCTGAGGGGGACACTTGCGAGACGCAATCATGGCACGTGGGGGGGACCCTTTCAATTACAACTCGCATGCGAGATACAGGGCGGTTGCTTGTTTATCATCCTATCTGTGGGCCATCGCTATGCGTGTATGGTTGCGCATATGCAACAGGGAGGCAGACATAGGCTCGTGTGAAAGGGATGCGGGGCCGCATCGCAAAGGATGCAGTTTGATTTGCAGGGGCGTGCGCCTGCGTGCGTGCTTATACCATGTGCTCAAGTGTCCGTAATATCAGTGCGCATGTACAGTAAACATGTGCCTGCGTCTGCATACCAGCTCCCAGGGGGAGCCCTATCCTTTGCAACGCAGCTTGCGCTCAAAACGTCTGCGGAAGACTGATGTGTGCTCTATGCTCAAGTGAACTGTGCACTACAGGAACCACTATACAGGATCGAAAACTGTTTGAATGCACATGCACTTTCACACGGCTTCCCTTCTTCTGTCGATCCTGCAGCCCGGCGTCCCGAGCTTCTGTCGCAGCTTACAGGGACAAGCATCCGAAATCAGAGAGTACACATGCGTCCCCAGAAAGAGTCGACGCAACGAAATTGTCACGAAATTCGGCTCCTAAATGCGTCCGCACGGACGTACGACGCAACGAAATTGTCACGAAATTCGGCTCCTAAATGCGTCCGCACGTGCGTACGACGCAACGAAAATGTCACGAAATTCATCCCTCGAGTTTGTGTTTATCCATGGGTTTGTGCACGCATATCTACATATATTAATTGCCGGCTCGTGCATGCAAAAGTTACGTATGGAAAATACGCATCAAAAAATTAAGGTGTAGGAGAGGAGGAGATGAAGCAGGGAATAGGATCAGAAGTAGATGAGGTACTTGAGCCCCCGCGTGGCGTACAAGCCGAAGCTCAAGAAGAACTCGCTGGCCTGGCCTCCTCAACCTCCGTTTCCCCATAGCCACCCCGTCTCGCAGGGTATCTCGCACCAGCTCCTGCTCACGCCCGATGCTCCAGAGGTTCCCCGCGATGATCCGTGCCAGGTGGATCCGAGAGGTTTCCCGGTCCTTGGCGAGCCCGTCTCCGATCATATTCTCGTCGGCCGTCCAGCGCAGCGAAGGTCCACTGTGCAACAGCCGCTCACGAACGATGGCGATTTCCATCGTGATGGCCTTCTGCCCGGGCAGGCCGCCGGCCTCCTTCGCGAGCCTGTCGTAGACGTCACGTGCATCGGTCACCATAGTCTCCGGCCAGCGAATTCAGAGGCCAGCAACATATGTACACGTACGCGGTTAGTTTCCCCTGGAGTGCGGTTCAACGCGGACGTTCGTGCAGGCAAGACCGCGGAGGGCGTACATGTACATATGTCGTTGCTCGCCCACGAATACCTGAGGACTTGAGGGTGACCAGCGGCGTCTCCATGTTCTGCTTCTGGCCCGGGATCTCGCGGAGCGCGTCGCCGAAGAAGACCATGCTGTCCGACAACATCGCCAATCCCCGCGTCTCAGCCGCCATGCTCGAACGACATAGTTACTCGAGGAATCGTCCGGGAGAGGCACTCCAAGACGTTGAATCGGCCCTTCTTGCCGTCACACAAGGTCTTTTCGGCAAGCATGACAGCGGTGCCGGCCTGGCTGTAGACCTTGACCGTGGCGCTCTCGTCCTTGGTCGGCACCCCGAAGCGATCCGCTCCTCCGAGCGAGGCGTCCGAAACGCCGACTAAGCCGCAATTGTCCAAGTCGATGGGCTCGTAGTGCAAGCAAAAGGTCGGCATTGCGCTTGGCCTCATCGATGACCGTGTTCAACTTGAGCAGGTCCCGAACTCGAGCATTCCCCTGGCGCCGCTGCAACACCTTAACCGGAAACTGCAAGAAGTACAGCAACTCCTTTGCGACCCACTGAAGAGACCCATTTCCACCGCGGAAGGCGCGATTCTCCAAGGCAGTCATCGGCTCGTCGACCTGGCTGGCCCTTTCGCGCGTCAGCTCGACCTTCTGGAGGTTCTCCACGAAAGGCTTCATGTGCACCTTGACGGTACCGGAGGCCAGCTTCTCGTACTGGCGGCCACAATGCTCGAAGCTGCCTCTCCTAACTGAGCCGAAACCAACCAATTTGTTCAGCTCCCCGATCTTGGCCTCAAAGTAAGCGTTGCCCGTACCACGTGCAAGCGCACCAGTCCGGCGAGGGACCCAGTCTCATCCATCAACAGGAACATGCCCATGCACATCGGATGCTTCTTGAAGCCCAGGGATACCAGCAGAGAGCTGACCTTCTTCCACCACTTGCGGGGCGCGTCGTTCAAGCCAAAGACGCCCTTGCGAATGACTAACAGAGATCCTACAGGAACACCCGGTAGCTGTGGCCCATCACGCGGTGGCCAGCAGTAGAGAATTTTGTCCTCCTCCTGGTACTCGCCCTTCAAGAATGCAGCCGAAACATCTGCAGAGAAAAGCACCCAATTCAATTCTCGCGACCCTTGCTCGCAGAGATCGCCAACAAGATGCAAATCGACTCCCTGCATGCCGTCGGGGCGTCCCGGCGGATCTCCAGAACGTCCGGGTCCGCATAGCCTGGCACGACTATCCGAGCAGATGCGTTCACTTGCAACGGCTTGCTGGTCGTGCTCTTCCCCGCGTTCTTGTCCACGAAGACGAAGCGAGACTGCAGCAGGCGGTTCAGCTGACCCTTCTTGCGCAACGTGTTTCTGACCTCATTGGCCTCGTTCGGCGCGATGACTGAGGCTGCGTCATTGTCCAACCAAGCTGACCACTGCTTTGCCACCGCCTGTCGGAAGAGAAGCTTGTCGCGACCACTCATGGACTTCCAACGGGCCTCCTTCGAGCGGGCAGCCTTCGCCAAGAAGGCCTGCGAGATCAACCCCGTGAAGTCGTTAGCTCCTCCTCGCAATGGTAGCCGGCTCCTCCGCCAACTGTTGTGCTTGCGCCAGGGCCTGATCGCGCCTCAAGGCCCGAAGGCCATCCAACCTCCTGGCCTCCTGCAGGCTCATCACCAATTCCTCCAAGTTTTGAGCTGACCTGCGAACCGCTGGGGCTGCCCGTCGCCGCTCCTCTGCCGGTGGCTGCAGGGGGTCCGCAGACTGCTGCTGAGACTGCGGCTTCAGTGGCTCCTCGGTGGCTGCCTCTTCCTCAGCTGCCGCCTCATCCTCGGCCACTGCCTCATCATCAGCTCCTGCCTCATCCTCAGCTCGTTTTCCTGTGGGGCTATCAGTGTATAAATGTTTGCCCCAGGCGCGGCCTCATCCTCAGCTCCTGCCTCATCCTGCTCTTCGGCCAGCTGCCGTCCAGCATTTCCTTCTGGCTCCATGTCCACGTCCGGCGACTCCTCCTCAGGCACTGCGGGTACTCCAGCAGGGGTTTCACCGGGAAGATCCGCATCTGGTCTCTGTTCTCGCGGGGCCTCGTCACCCAAGCCCGGCTCCTCAACGATCGGTTCAGCTCCTGCCAGCGCCTGCTCGAAGAGCTCCTTCTCCTTGTTGGCCGTCTCCCAAGAAATCTGCTCTGCGACCGACGCCTTGCGCAAACTCTCAGGAGCGACCTTTGTTGTCCGGCCTCGGTAGGAAACGAACGCGTTCTGCCGCTCCCAACCGACGAAGATGGCAGGCCCATACCAACGATGAGTGACCAAGGGCGTCTTCACGTCGGTCTTGTTGCGCTTGATCTTCCGCCAGAAGTAGACCAGATCGCCGGTGTTCAGGTTCCTGTTGCCCAACGAGGACCTCCCACCCGCCAGCAGCGCTCGACGAAGTCGGTGCAACGTGTCCAGCTTCTCGAACCCACGTCGCGCAGCCCAAAGCCAAGACATCCTCTTCGCGAAGTCGGGGCTCCTGTCGGGAGCGTCCAAGCTCGAGATCTCACCGGCGGTCCTCTCGTCAAGCACAGACCAAGGAAGTCGATGGCCACGTCCAAGAACCCACTGCGCGGGCGAGAAGCCTGAGGCATTCACGCGGGAGTTCTTGGCCCAATTCACCATGGCGGCCAGCCTCCTCATCTCCACGAAGCCCTCGGCGCCAACGTCGGCAATGGCTTTCCTGGCAGCCGCCTTCCACCGGCTCTCTCAACCAATCCATTCTGCCAAGGGGCCTCGGCAGCAGTGAAGTGATGTCGAATGCCATGCGCCTCCATGAACTCGCCCAGCTCTGCCTCGAACTCCCCTCCAAGATCGGATACCAAATTGCCCATTGGTCCGGCCCAGCTGATCCAGATCGTCTCCAACACGCTGAGCACGTTGTCCAGCCTCTTGGAAGGGACAGGGTAGCAGATGGCGAATCTCGTCGCGAGATCTACAACGTTCAAGAATTCATACACCTTATTTTGGGAGTCCGCCAGATGGAAAAGATCCACTCCGACTCCTTGGCCGAACTCCGTGTAGGTCTCCGCCAGCTTCGCTGTAAGATGGCTCTTTGGCGGGCGATTCTCGGCACACACGTCGCAGCGCAATTCC